AACATATTACTGATTTTGCAACTACACTCACATTGTGGACTGATTTTCATACAAAAAAAAAATTAGTTTTGCTTTATCCAATATCCAAAACCATAGCTTAAATAGTTAAAAAGAACTAATTTTGGGAACTGTAGAAAAAGAAATATTAAAAATTAAATAAGGGTACAGCTAAGTTATTAGCTAGCATTATATAAGAAAATATAAATACAAGGAAAAAAATCTTAAATATACTTTAGAGACCTAAAATTTGCAATTCTATGCAGTTGATTATATTTATATGATATTACATAATAATTATATCTTGTAATAATTTAAAAGAAATGATATATTTATAACAGAATGCTTTGCATTAAGGCTGCACAATATTTTGGAAAAAACTGATATTGCAATATTTTAACTTTCTGTGATAAATAATATGAAAAGAGTTAGTTTGAATAGCACTGTTTGATGGTTTGCTATGGATTCTAACAGTATTCAGCTACTGAAATTAAATGATAATAAAGCAAATAATTTTTTTTCTTTCTTGGCTTAGTCCAAATATCAAAAAATTCTTACATCAAGTAAAATATTGTCTTGTTTTCAACTTTTCTTTAAACAATTAATGTTTTTCCTTAAAACAAACAAAACTATCTGTCAGTGGGCCAAGTAAAATAAACTTGCTTTCGCTTTAAAAATGAAGACATTTAGACTACAAACAACACAAAAACTCACTTTTTTTTGCATACATGATATATTCTGCAAAAATACAATAACAAAATGTAATTCTGGTCAACTATAATTCAGACTCAACATTGCATATCTTGCAATGTGACTATTGCGGATGCGCACATTATCGCAAATATATCCATGTTAAAACGATAGATTCTGCAGCCCTACTTTAAATAGACTAAACTGCTAAATATTTGTATTTCTACATCTCCTAATAAAATGTCTTGGTAAATTATATTGAAATAGCCATGATTGAATATGTGCAGTTTTATGGGGGAAAACAAATCCAACGAAGTTGTGTGTGAATGATCTTCTAAAAAGTTCAATGTACAACGCTGCATTCATTTAAATATCACCAACAATATAAAACTGTTTCTAAAATGTGTTTTTGGAAATGTTGATCATTGAAACCATAGAAATATAGGGCAATGCAAATTATAAGGCAATACAAATTGCTATTATTAATTATTATTATTGTTAATATTATTGTGTATTTTAGTGTATTATTGTGATTATTACTATTATAAGTATACATTTACTGAGTGCACGTATAGCAATCTTGTTTTATCCTTTTTTTCTGATAACACTTTACAATAAGCTTCCATTAGTTTATGTTAGATATGTATTTACTAACACAAACCAACATCTTTTTTTATATAGCCCTTTTATCATGTAGATTCTGTCAAAGCAGCTTAACATAGAAGTTCTAGTAAATTGAAACTGTCAGTCCAGTTTTCAGAGTTGAAGTTCAGATAAGTTCAGTTCAGTGCGATTTACTTTTCACTGCTGAAAGTCCAAACACTGAAGAGCAAATCCATCGATTACAGTATGTACTCATATTTGTTAGCATTAGTTAGCAGCATAGAAAATAAAGTTGTTCATTGATAGCTCATGTTAACTCACACAGTGCATTAACTAAAGTTAATAAGCACAACTAGGGATTTCAGTAATACATTAGTAAATAGTGAATTATGATTAATAAATAGTATACATGTATTATTCATTCTTACTTCATGCTACTAAATACAATAAAAAATTATACCTAATTGTGAAACGTGATTATTTTTGAAATGTACTCTTTTAATTGCAATGACAACACAATGACAATGTCAGAAAAAAGCAAGCTTAAACAACATGCTTTCATTGTAAAAGCAGCATGAAAGTGTAGCAATTTGAGAGCTTGAATCGCCCTGACCTAGACTTGTCTCAGATGGTTTGCTTTAACTAAACCGGACTAAACTGTAGCGAGTGTAGAGGTGAAAACTAGTATGACCTTGGTGCTTGTCTCACCATGGTTTGTTTTAACTGGCAGGGGGCTTTCGCGCCTATTACTGATAGCTGTAATGAGAAAGGGTCAAAAGAGCCGACCTGTGCCGAGTAGAAATAGATGGGGCAGGGCATCTTACTGCAATTCCCCTGCCACCTGCCAGCGACTGCACAGGGGGCGTCCTGATTGCTAACAGACCCGTCGGTGCCGTACACCCAGGTGTCTTCATTCTCACCAATCAGTCATGCACACGACAGGCTTTTTGCTACAGCACACATGCTGAGATCCATGGAGAAAAAGATTCCTTTGCTAAGTGTGTTTAGTCCTAATTCCTCTCACAGCCGCCCTGTCAAATGCAGATGTGCTTAAAGAGATGTTTGGAAAATAAGAGTGAAAGTCAGAGAAGTGCTTTTCTTTTGAATCTGGCATGAAAACAATATTCGATATGAATGAACAACATTCAGGGCCTACTTGACGCCAAGAGCAGTTCAGAAATTCTCATCCGAGCTTGTATATCAATATTAATAAGAGCAGCTTGACCCGCGTTGGAACTCGCACGGTGCCTGACGTAAAATTTAGTGCAATCTTTCCACAGTAAATCAGCTTAAGGCAAACAGTCTTTCTCTGGTTGACGGTACCTGATAGGGATTTGAGTTTACGTTGAGATTACTTCAGTGATTGTAATAATAAAACAATTGAGTTGATGCCACAAAAAAAAGCAGTCTGTCAAGGAAAACCCCAAATATGTCCCTTAATTCCCGTTCCTTGCAGTGCTGGTTTGGAATTCAATTATAAACAGCATTAGGGCTGTACACTTTTTGATCTGCCTTATTCAACACTCTTTGAATGCTGCATTATCTCGCCAATGGAACTTGTGTGATCTGTTAAACAGTTCACATTGCTTCTGTTTCAAGCCTTTATGTGTGCTTGATAAAATATTGAGATGTATTAAGCAATATGGATGATTAGGAGCCACTTAAGAGTTGTTGCTAGTTTGTATTTTATTAACATCTACCCAAATTACCCAATAAATTGTATTTTTAAGCGTCTACCACTTCCCTAAGCCCAATCGTCATAGTAATGTAAAAACATTAGTTGTACTGAGAATTATATATGTTGTTTATTAAATTACCCAATTATTTTTTTAATGTCTACCCATACCTTAAACCGAACCTTCACAGTAACGTAAAAACAGTAGTTATGACAAGAATTATTTATGTTATCTTCTTAAATGACTCAATAATGTGTATTTTTTAACATCTACCCATACCCTAACGCTAAACCAAAGCATCACAGTTCTGTATGTATGTATGTATGTATGTATGTATGTGTGTGTGTGTGTGTGTGTGTGTGTGTGTGTGTGTGTGTGTGTGTGTGTGTGTGTATATATATATATATATATATATATATATATATATATATATATATATATATATATATATATATATATATATATATATATATATATATATGAGTCAACGCACGCCTCCCACCAGTGCCGATATACAGCCATATCGCACTGCTACGAGTGTGATATTGCGTTTATACAACAGTTTGACGGCATAATTGTGTATATAAAAGCATATATGTGTGTATATATATATATATATATATGTATATATATATGTGTGTGTGTGTGTGTGTGTCTGTGTGTGTGTGTGTGTGTGTGTGTGTGTGTGTGTGTGTGTGTGTGAATTTAGTATTTAGTATACTTGTTCAAGTTCACTAAAGCAGTACTAAAAATTTATATTTAAGGGTATTTTTAATGTATAACTTCTACAAACTTAAAATGCATATGAATTGGATAGAACACATCTCCAATCCCCCATCATACACACACTTATTAATGATTCCTATATGTCTTCCTCGTGATAAACAGAAGGCAAAATCTGATGTGTAGTGGGGAAAAATAAAAGAACATGTTCATCAGACACAGGATTTGAACCGGGCTTATGATCTATCACGCTAAATGAGCTTTATGAGCTACACCACTCACTCTACTATCTGCTGCACTCTTTATTTATGTTCTCTCTCTACTAAGCATTAAGCTGGCCCAATACATTATGGCACCGGAGGAGGGTTTAATAACCCAGAGTAAAAAGCGTCGCTAACAATTTTTTAACATTACAAAAGTGCAATGTTTTTCAATCATCAGTAAAAACTGGGTTTAGAACGACAATGGTGCAACAGTGGTTTTCTGCAACAGAAATCAGCAGAAAGCCTTAATGCAGCTACACACTTGCAGGATCCAAACAAAATATCACACCACGAGCCAACCAAAACAGCCTTTTACAACACATTTATTTAGTGATTTGCACTCATAAATATGCACACATATACACTATTAACCTTATTCCAACTCCAGCAAAAACTGCTGTTCCTCTTAGAACTGCTCAACTAGGCTTTTTAAAAAGTGTCATTATCTGAAATCATTGTCAGCTGTTTAGCCTTTTGAATACATCATCATTCAGTTTCATTTTATCCTTGATCTGAAAATTTCAGTACTACAAAGGTATTTGACAAGTCAAATGAGTCAAATGAGTCAAATGAGATTTCTGCCTTTCAAACAAATATATCTCCTAAAATGATCTGAGCATTTAGGACAATGTCTGTATGAAATCTGAAGTTGGACACTGGATTTACAAACAGGCACAGCACAGCTGTTGAAAGTGATCAATAAAACCATCTGGTTTGGTTAATTGTGCACTGGACCATCCTGTCTCTTTTCATTTTAAACCTGTAACAGGCAGCAACAATTACATCACTGCATTTGTTGACATATATTGCCATGAACATCAGTGAGACAAAACTCAACATTCAGACAAGCTTAAGCAACATAAAACTGAAGCATAAACACCCAAGACAAAAAAAAAAAAAAAAAGATTCCATCATCTAGTAAAGTAAAAACTATAGGGGACTCTAATACTTCATAATTTTCACTCTGTGCACTATCCAACGCATTTATTAAAAACCTGCATAAAAAATAACCACTCTATCAGCTGAGCGTGTCGTTGTAATCTCCTACCTGTTAATGTGACATCGCTGTAGATGTTGGAAAGCTGTTCTTTCAGCAAGACCTGCTGCATCTGAGCTGCTTTCTCCCGCTGTAGTTCCAGCATCATGTCTGGGTGGCTGGCCAGCTTGCAGCCCTTTTGTTTGTCCAGAGCGAAGTCACTGCGCACTATGTCTGCATGGAAACCGCGAGAATGTTTTCAGAGTTATTTGTGTGTATCTGCCCATCAAGAGGAAAAACTAACCACTAAAAGAACTAATGTAATCATGCATGTGGTTTGGATTGTGGACATGTTTACTAGAAACTCAAAATATAGTTCTTCCTGTTCTGTGTTTATTGATTTTAAAAAGCCTGCGGAATTAAAAAGGCTTTTTTAACATTGCAGTGCTCAGCATAATTGAGTACAGCCCATTGTGACAATGAATATTTTTATCCATTTCTCAGTGAATATAGGCAACGTATTTTGGTAAATTTAAACAAAACAGATTTATTAAACATATATTTATTCAAATAATATTTTAGTCACCAAACATATTTAGAAATTGAAAGATAATACAATTAAACTGAAGCAAAATATTGCAAAAAAAAATTACAACCTAAACAATTTCACCTAAACTTACTTTTTTTTTTTTTTTTTTTGGCTTCCCTTGATTTTTCCTTATTCTTAAATTTGTATTTAATATTTTTCTATAACATATACATTTGGGTGTACTAGTTTTTGGACCATTATCGCAAGTTATTTTGTTAGATAAGCTCCAGATTTGGCTTAAGTATTGACTAATCTAATGTATATGCAGAAATATAATATTGTAAAGTTTCCCATTTTGAAAATGAATATTTTTATCAATTTCTTAGTGAATATAGGCAGGAGCAGATTTAACCAAGAAGCAAGGTAAGTGGCCGCTTAGAGTCCGAGGGCATCTGGGGGCCCCCAATAAATATCTAAAAGTATAAATTATACTTATAATCTATAAATATAACATTGTTTTATCTCATATTTTGTATGAGAGTCAAACAAATAAAATTATTACTTAATTAAATATGATTTAATATACAATAAAATATATTATTATTATAATAACGTAATGTTATGTAATAATAATATTACGAAAAAATATCCACCACCCAGAAGATTGAGTGAAAAAAATATATATAAAAAACAGCTAAATAAATTTTTAAAAATTATAAAACTGTAAAGGACGCATTTCAGGACTTTGGGCATCATGGCTGAAGTTCCTTAAGCCCCTAAATCACTAAATCCGCCTCTGAGTATAGGCAATGTATTTTGGTGCATTAAAACAAAACAGATTTATTAAACAGATATATTCATTAAAATAATATTTTAGTCACCAAACATATTTAGAAAATAAAAGACAATACAATTAAATTCAAGCAAAATATTGCAAAGAAAATTACAACTTACAAAATTTCAACTAAAATTTTCAAATTTATTTATTTTATTTTATTTTTGAATATTGAATTGAATATTCCTCTTTTCTAAATTTGTATTTAATATTTTTTATAACATATACATTTGGGTGTATTTGTTTTTGAACCGTTATCACATTTATTTTGTTAGATAATTCCAGATTCAGTACTGACTAATCTAATGTATGCACAAATATAATATTGTATACCTTCCAATTAAAACTATGAATTTAAAAGATAGATTTGTGAGGGATGTATATATGCTGAGCACTGTAAATAAATAAATAAATTCATCAATATTTATTCAGATATATTTAAGGTTTAAGCATACACTTGTGTAAATAGTTTTTTCCCCACATCAACTTTTCTAAAGTTATGAGATGAAAACAACTTTTTTAAATCAAGAAAATGAGCAAATTAGACCCTACCATCTTCATAGTTTTTGAGGTAATAGTCTGGTCCAGGCCCTCTAAACTTTGCTAGATTCTTCAGGTTATGAAACTGGAGAAAGTCAGTCCGTTTGCCCCCAAACCTCAAATAAGCTGGAGAGAGTCCCCGTGCCAGAGTGACTAAACGCTTGGAGCTGTGGATACAGAAAGATGTAGATTACAGATCCAAAGGATACATAATATTGACTAAGAAACAATCAACAGTGAATATACTGCACTGTGGAAAGTAAAAACGACAACTTAATTACAGCTTATACCTAATATGACTTATTTCTGGATTTTTAAATTTTGATTCAGTGATATAAAAATACATTTTTACATAATGACACATGTACAACACTAAACAAGATTAAATGTTGTTCATATAATTCCTAAGATGAGCTTTCAATGATTTACACTGTTAGAGGAAAGTATGAAAATAAGCTAAACAAATTCTGAATTTTTTTTTAAGGTTTATAACCTGGATATGCTTTATGTAGCTATGATGCATGTCTTGTTTTATCATATTTGATGTATTATTTTAACAGTCGGTGGTTCATTCTGTAGCGGAGACCTCTGAAATAGAGACCAAGTCGTACACTGTAAATATAATACGATCAATTAGTCATGACAGCATATGTTTTTAGTTTATTGTCACTTATTAAACTTAGTTAATCATGTTTTAACTTATACAATTAAGTTATGCAAGCAGTTTTAAGTTGGTTTAACATAATATAAGTTCAATGGACTCCTAAGGTTAATTTGATTCAGCTTAAAAATTAAGGCAACCAGGATTTTTTTACAGCCTAAGTAAAATTAATAAATGGAATTCAACGGTCTGTAATGCCGACAAGAGGCCAACACATAATTTTCACAATACAACAAATAATATCTCATTTTATATATTTTATTAATAACATTTTCCATCAGTTTGTGTCGTGATCTGAGTGTCAGGATTGAACTTTTATGATGTTCATGAGATCTGGTGTAATGTGCTAGGTTTCAGTCAGGCCGCAGTGGTGAAATCAGCAGCAGATTATTTCACACGGAGCTGCAGCCTGTGTTTGCTACACTCTCGTTTCTACCTAATTAAATAAATACCAGCTTCTTTTTTTAGTGCTTTCCTAAATAATGATGTATAATAAGGTACCAGTTGTAAAAAGTGAAGCTGTAAAAGGTGCACATAAAAGTAGGCCTATAAATTGCGCAAACGTTCCCCTTTGAGCGTGGAGAAGGCTCTTCTCGACAACAGCTTAAATAATATTAGAATGAAATTAAAATAAATTGAAATGAAATCATAAAAGCTGACTACATCAAGTGTTTATTTTATTTTGTATTAAAAACAGCAAAATAATAACTGCAACAAACTATCGTGAAGTCTGTGTTGTGGTCGGTGGGCTGAAACTGATTTTAAGAACACATAAAACTGGAGCAAGAAGAGGAAACATTTTGCTGGTGCCACTCCAGTAATGTTAGTCAGATCAAGCATGAATAATGAAAGTTATTTCATGGACAAATTACTGTAAAATTAATAATAAAGCTATAAAATAAAATAAAATAAAATAATAAACATTAGTGCAACCCACGCCATAATACATAATAATAGCGACAACAATTGCAGTATTTTTAAATAGAAACACTTGAACATTTGCCTAAACGCCTAAACATTGTTACAATTACTGTTACCATTATGAAAACCGTATGCATGTGCATATCATTAGCTGAACAATAAAAACATCCCTATAAGGCATTAAAATCTATTGCACGGATCTTCTAGCCAAATTCTAGCCAAGTAGAAAACATAACCTATTGTTTTGTCCTTTTTAGTCAAATCCCGCTTTTGAGTCCTACGTTTCTTTACATAGGAACGAAGGACACAAAAAGTAAAACCCAAACAAGCATTACGTGTTATACTGTACACGAGAGAAAACTAACATTATGCCACGACAGCAGTATATGTGGGCCACTTATTAAATTTAACTTACTTGTTCCAATTACTCATTCTGACTAATAACAAACAATATTTGATAATAATTCGGGAGTAAACACTATATCAAATATCAAACTTGATCGGGGTAATAAAATACACTTACATGTTGTTTCTCCGTAGGTTTTTTGTTTTGTTTTGTCTTTTTTCTCTGGGGGCTGGGACACTCATGTTCACTTCCAGGTCAAGCCCTGGTGCGCAAATTAACAACCATTCAAATATGCGTGTATGTTCAGGGTTCTCGCTCTAATATATAAAGTCATATTCACGCGCCGAATGCAAATTTATCATAGACAAAGCTCATCATACAATACTGTTTCATCTGGGTTTACAGTTTTACGCAGTGCGCGTAAACGTGAAAATTTCTGATTTACGCGTACAATTTTTTCCAAAATCCTATTCGCGTGATACAAAACTACTAATACTCTGCATTTTCAAAATGTAAAGAAAGCCATAACATTTTTATATGAACAAAGAGTGTAATTAAATTTGATGTTTATCAGTAGGGAGAAAGGCTAATAAAAGACCTAAAATAAAGGGCTGTGTTTTCAAGTAGGCGGATTAGCTAGTTAAATATAAAAATGTGCATTTTGAATGTTTCATTGATAATATGAAGTTGTGCTCCCGTTGGAAAGTCGAGTTTCAGCCTGCTTGTAACATGAAAGATGGTTTCTAGCTCCTCATTATCAGGTCCAGCTTGACCAGTTGATGTTGCTAATCCAATATGATCTAGCTTGAATCGGCTTCGCAAAGCTACCATTCCCAAAACACACATACTCTTCATTTGCTTCTCCAGCATGCGATTCTACGGTGCTTCCTAAATCTAAACAAACACATCAGTATCACCAGGATGCAATTGTAAAGCTGTCATACCTTAAGAAGTCCAGCCAACCATCCTTTATAATAGACGGATCCAACTGCAATGAGAGGAAGTTGTCATTCAAAACTTTGACCGGGCTCCGAGTATTAACGTCCAGTAAAATCAAGGTCCTTTCCAGAAAGCTCTGTCTCTTTCCCCCAGACACTGGTCTTCTGTAGGTAACGGCGGAGGAAATGAGAGACTGGAGTATCAGTGCCAACCACAGTGACGAGCCGAACACTGGGCAGAAAAACTGCCTGGGCATCTTCTGTCCTCAAGCACCGGGCGGAGCGCAGTGAGGGAGATCCAGCGGAGATCTCCTTATAAAAGCTGTTAAACAAGCACCTGAAGTGTGGTTTTATGCCCCTCCTCAAGCAAAGGATCGCTATAGTGTCTCTTTCAGCCCCCCTGTATTCAGCTGTTTTGGAGTTAGCTGGAGTAAACTCACGCCCCAGGGCCAGCCTCCATCACACTGCTGCCCCTGCACCGCCCTCTGTAGTAACGCTACGGCTCTTAAAGGTAAGATGACTCTTATTTTACGCAAGCTTCTTTTTGAGGGGTGGGTGGGGGTCTGCACAAGAAATATTAAATAAATTACAGCGAACAGAAAACTCATGTTTTTCAGTGCTTCAGCTAAATATCCTCTTTTTGTTTATAAAGTTAGTCAAGGTTAAGTCCATGGATTAAAGTCTGCTGTTTGCGTTTTTCTAACTCCACCTGTTATATATAAAATATAATTTGTGTCATTTAAAATACTTTTTTAATAGAAAAGGTAAGCGTTATTAATCATGAAGTTCCAAGTGTTTAAATTGGTACTAAAGGTAGTGGATCATGTTAGTTCATCAAATAGTTTTACAGTGAACATCTCTACTTTCTTTACAATTCTACTAAACCATTCAATGGATGTTAAATATCCATAAAAATATGAATGGCCATAAACAATGCTTTTTTAGAAGTGCCATCAGCCATCAGCCTTATAATTTAAAAATGTAATTGCGAAAACTACTACATAACTTTTCTCAAATCGCCCACAAAGAACAACCAGTAACTGACCACACGTTTTCTTGTTAATAAAGCAATATTGAACAATATAATTATTAAGCATTTTATAATAACATTATAACACAATTATTCAAAATAAATATTTACATTATAGGCTAACTATTTAATTGTCGCTACCCTCGAACAACAGTACTTTGTGCAGCCTATGAATGCAGTGAATGAATGTCACATCTTTTTAATACGCTCATATTTAAAGAATTTAAAGTTTAACATACTTTATGATTTGACAACTTGCGCAGATTGATATAAAACATGCTTTGTGTTTTTCGTCTCCTGCTGACCTATTTAAAAGTTGATATTGTCTAATGATCTACTGCGCATTTAAACGAGTACAGTTAATCTCAGTGTAAATATGACTTTTTCTTGACGTGAATACTAAGAAATATTGAGAAGTAGCTTATCACTATCTATTCATACTTTAATGTTTTCTTATAAATCACTAAGGGCGGCGAAAATAAAACCAAACAGAAGAAAAAAAATGCATCATAACTTGACAATAAAAACAATTACTTTTTTATGGGGGAAATTAACTTTTTTTCGCGAATAAAAACCCTCTATAACAATTCAATAGTAACATTATGTACATCTAATTATAACATTAATTTTCACGATTTCTCCATGGAATAATATTCAGCCTAATTATCCACGTCGGAAACATTGGTTTAGCTATTTAAACTGTATATATTTATTTGTAGCTGAAAATAAAACATTGAAATATTCGTTTACAAAGACGCCAACGCGAACTGGTTTTGCTTTTTCCAATAAAGAACTTGCAGGTAAACCAGTCAACTAAATAAAAAAATGCAACATAAATACGGAGACTATGTTTGTCCTTTCATCTTGCTTTGTTTTTTCTCACGGATTAGTTTAGCTAAATGTTAATATCAAATGCGAAACACACGAGCCAAAAAAACATCTTCAATCATCTTCAGAGGTGCATATCTTTTGGCATGACAAACCAACCGGCCGACATAATCTCCACTGATGACTGACATCATGCTTTTAATAATCCTGAGACGTTAGCAGAACGATTAAAAAATATAATATTTGTAATACTGTCACCTGATTGCCAGACAGTTGTCTAATAATTGCAACCATGGTATTCTTCCTTCTGTAACCGAGATCTCTGGCCTATAATCCCGGGCGCCCTGTGACAGTCCACTTACTGTCCGCTTTCTGCAGAGAAGGAGAGTAAAACAAAACAGAAAGAAAATAAGACTCTCCGCTGTTTACAGTATATTTCTTGGCAGCAAACCAGACAGAGCGCCTCTCTTTAACCTCGGATTTATGACAAGATTTATCAAGTTTTATATGAGAAATCTTTTGAAGTGTATTTTTTTGCTTTCTAAAACTAGAAACGCACCGTTTCAGAGATTACAGGGAGTAAATGCATCAAATATACATAACAATCAGGACTATGCGGTCATCTTTTTTAGTTTTATGCGAATACGGAGAAAACACAGGCTATAAAATAGTCCAGATAAAATGAACATCTGTTGCTTCTTTTAGACTTAAAACACAATTCAAGAATAAAACATTTGAATAAATCTTTAAACTATAAAAACAACACGGACAGAATTGTATGAATTGTTACACCGACAAGAATATTCTTTAAATATTAATTAAAATAGGTTCGTTCTTCTTCTAAATTTACATGCATTTTAGTATGACTTAAAATAAGAAAGAAAAAAAGTTTGACTTGCCAAAAAAGTGAGGTTCAAAAGTTTTTAAGATTTTTTTACGCAAATAACCTATTAATTAGGCTATTGAAAAATAAAACTATACTATATTTAAGGATGATAAATTCATAAAGCTTTATGCTTTTTACGGCAATATAATTACAGTTTGTTCATAAATATTCACACTAAATTAAAATAAAAAATTATAAACCAGGTTAACAAATATTTTACGTTTTAGTTTTTGACCTCTAAATATCCAGTTTAAAGCTGAAGTTTATTATTAAAAGTCTTATGATATATATATATATATATATATATATATATATATATATATATTGCAGAAGAAATTCAGCGCGCTTATTAAAAGAGTAATGACATTCCCTTAAAGGAAACTTCATTGAATTACTCAAAATAATCCATCAAGTTTTTTCCATTATTGTTGTTATTATTATATTCTACTTTACGCTTACATGTCACATGATATTTGTTTTATTTTTTTCCTTCTCTTCACTAAACAATAAAAATACACAGTTGTAGGTAGTAAACCCATCCGAACACTGCACTCCCACTGTTTCAAATAGAGCCCTGAAGGACGTGCAACATTTCAGCTAAATGGACCATCAATATCTTATTAGTTAAAAGTTTCCTGAGCCTGCAAACTGTCCTGTGAGCCCTCCGGTCAGACCCCCGACAAGGTCAAGGCTGAACATACGGTCCCTCTGAATATAGAGAGAGTTAAAGGGAGAGAGAAAGGGGAAAACGCCACATATTTGTCTGTGATTTACGAGGTGGAAGCGAGTGATGCTGAGCAGACGAAAGTGGTTAGCGCGCACAGCCAAACATCTACAAATTCTTCTTTTTCTTACAGCTTTACCTTACTCGCGCAGCCGTTCAGAATGGTGTTCATACTGTAAATAGCATCTGAGGCACTGGCTGTCTGCTCCAGGCCTGGATCCAAACACTCACTGGATTAAAATAAGTGTTTACGAGACCACGGCTTATTGTTTCACCCTGCTTTTGGCGGAGGAACTTTTCAGACATTTCGAAATGATCTAACAAACCCCCAACAGAACGAATTACTTGCTTTTGGGAACGAAAAATTGCTGGGAATGCAAATGAGTGAACACTGTGTAATAAAATATGATTTTTATTAGATCAATTACTTTTTCAAACGCGATAAGACCGGGTCACATTGATTGTTCGCTGTGAGCTTATATGTTTTTGCATGTGTACATATGAAATATGAATAGCATTTTTATATACAAATTCAAGCCTATATTAAAACTTAACAGATATTTCTTCATAAGGTTGTATATGTTGTTCTTATAGGCCTATTTTGCGAAAATATATCCCACTACTTACAAGTTTAATTTTATCCGTCAAAAGAAGTAATAATTGTGAACACATCTAGTATATAGGCTAGCTTAATATAGAAGTGTCTTGAAGTCTAGAAGTCGATTAAAATTGTAATAGAGTGCCACCTTGTGGTGAATACTCGTTAAATTCTGCATCAAGGCTGAGATTTTTGCTTTTAATCTGATTAGAATAAATACAATAAACTAATTCTCTAACTCGCATATAATGCTTTTTTGGACAATAATTTTAAAATATCTATACATTTTAAATGTAGGCCTAATTACAAAATAAATTCTGACATGCAATAGAGTGCATTATATAATACAATAAGTTAAATATGGCAGATATCTTCAATCTTGTGTTGCTGGTTAATATCACAATCGGAATAGCCATATTAAGCCACAGAGGCTTCCCATGGAGCCAACCCCACACAAAAGAGAGAAACTGTCTGAGCCTTTTAATAACCTTTACCAGACAATAAACAGTTATAGTTGGTAAATGTATTTTAAGAAAGGTTTGTTTATATATACGTCCAAGAGGCTTACAGTAGCTACATTATATCATCATCTCTGTCTGTGCAGTGCATCAACATTTCCTGTTACAGTATCGCAGCCCCGCAAAGCGCCATGACGTCACTGCGGTGTCATTTTTATTTACACGAGACACCAGCTGTTACGTTGACTCGGCAAACAGAGTGGATGAGAGTGTGTGTGTGTCCGTGGGTGTGTGTCATTGCCACGTGATCCAGCTCGCCAATGTCCTTTTACAACCCACTCAGCATCATGGCTGCGGATGCTGCGGATGCTCTCCTCCCGCACCGCATCCCCGGACCATGCCTGCTACCCCTGCTGCTCCTGCTCGCCTCCAATCTCCCTTCACTGAGCCACGGACTGCTGGGCTTCCGACCGGAGGACACGGGAAGAGATCTGTCCGTGCAGGACGGGGTGCTAAAGGCCACCGAAGGGACGCGGTTCATGTTACGCGTGTACTATGCAGCATCCCCGCAGAGGATCAACCGGACCGTCAGCAGCGCAGCCGCACCGTGGATCGCCTTCATCGAAGAACCGGAGCCGGGCAGAGAGGGGCAGGTGCACCCCAAACGCAACTTATGCGTGGAGGAGAGCGCCAGGAGCTCGGATATTGAGCTTCTTGGGTCGTTTAAGTCAGCCTCAAGCCAAAACTCCATACTGGTGGAGCTTCTCGCCAAAGAACTCCGGAGAGGAGAGAACATTAAGTATTACTCCATGTGCGCCTTTGACGGGATCAAATGGGAGCATTACCGGACACGCGACTTCTGGCTGGCGGTGGTGGAGCGGCCGCAGCATACGGACGGGTGGCTGCAGGCGGGTCTCTCAGTGCTGTTGCTCGCGCTGTCCGCGCTTTTCAGCGGGCTGGTTATCAGCATGCTCGCGCTGGACCCGGTGGAGCTCAAAGTGCTGCAGAACAGCGGCACGGACAAGGAGCAGAAGTACGCGCATAAGATCGAATCAGTGCGCAAGCATGGCAACTATGTCCTGTGCACCTTGGTGCTGTGCAATGTGCTCACTAACACTTTCTTGGTGGTCTGGATGTGCCAGATCCTAGGAGTGACGCCCGTTTCTACTGCGGCGTGCACTTTTCTCATCTTCTTCATCGGAGAGATCCTGCCGCACTCTGTCGCATCCAGGCACGGCTTGGCAATCGCGTCCAAAACCGTGTGGCTGACCAAGATGCTGATGCTGCTGACTTTCCCCATCACCTATCCCATCAGCAAGCTCCTAGACAACATGCTGCACCAGGAAATCAGCAACTTCTACACGCGTGAGAAGTTACTGGCTATGCTGAGAGTCACTGACCCGTATCATGACCTGGTGAAAGAGGAGCTGAACATCATCCAGGGAGCTCTGGAGCTCAGGAGCAAAACGGTGGAAGATGTGCTGACCCCTCTCAATGACTGCTTCATGCTAGCCTCGGACGCCGTCCTGGACTTTTACACCATGTCGGACGTGATGCAGAGCGGATACACTCGCATTCCAGTGTTTGAGAACGAAAGATCCAATATTGTTGATATTCTGTTCGTCAAAGATCTGGCTTTTGTTGACCCAGATGACTGCACGCCGTTAAAAACCATCACTCAGTTCTACAAGCACCCGCTGCACTGTGTGTTTAATGACACCAAACTGGATGCAATGCTGGAGCAGTTCAAGAAAGGTAAGATGCTTGTACTCCAGCTATGTAAAGCTATGCAGACTGAAGAAAAAAAAGTAAAGTCGGTGTGAAATACTATGAATTACTCACCCTCAATTAAAGAGATAGTAAGTATGAATGGGTAACACTTTATTTTGATGGTCCATTTGAGTATTAGTAGACTGCTTAATATGTTGATACTGCTGCTAAACAGACATTTTACTGACTATAAGAAACTTTGCAAGCACATGTCAACTTACACTAACCCTAACCCCATCCCCAACCAAACAGTCTGCTTATCTAATGAGAATTAGTTGGCAAGTAGATACAATGTAACTTAAATTTAACAAACGGACCATCAAAATAAAGTGTGACCTGCTGCACTCATCCTCAGACCAACTGAGATGCAGGTTACTTTCCTTCAGCATAAGATTAAATAAGAGTTTTAGCTGTAATCATCCTTGTTGATTTATATGCAAGTGAATGCAAACAGCATATTTAGAGTTGAAAAAAAAAAAACATACAGGCAAAAAAAAGTTATATCTGTGACCTGATGTTTGAAGTCTGTGATGACCGTGCATTAAACAAATATCTTTAATACCTTGACAATTGCTTAACATGTTCATGACAGCCTGGAGTGCGAATTGTTGTTGCATAATAATGTGGGTTTAAACTCTGATGTGAGATGATGCTTACAGTTTGTTTACAACTTTTTATGCAGCATCTATAAGCATTTTTGATAAACAAAACCACAAACATATCAGCAACACTTAAATTCATTCATTTTCTTTTCGGCTTAGTCCCTTTATCAATCTGGGATCGCCACAGCGGAATGAACCGCCAACTTATCCAGCACATTTTTTACGCATAGGATGCCCTTCCAGCCGCAACCTATCTCTTGGCAACACCACTTAAATACAAGAGTTAATTTATAATCCTGACCAATGGGTCTTCTGTATAGTCATCAATTTGCATTTTATGAATCACCAAGAACCACAGTTTCCATCTAAAAATAAATAAAAAACATTTTTAATGTTCTGAAAAAAGGTCATCTTGCATGGCCTGCGGGCGAATAAACTAACAGCACTTTTCATTTATGGGTGTACTGTCCTTTTAAGTATTTCTTTCTTTTGTGGAACAAATTCAATCAACAAATCAATCAAACTTTAATTATATAGAACTTTACTATACCAGGAGGCGGCCCAAAGTGCTTTACAGTATTAAAAACAAAATTAAACATTAAAACACATAAAATGGTAAGAACACAAATGTCGATAAACCAGCATTTTATACTACCGAATATTAAAAGCAAGGTTAAATAGGTTAAATATGAAGGTGCAAGACCATTAACTGCATTAAAAACAAACAACAGTAGTTTAAAATGAATTGTGGAATGAACAGGGAGCCAGTGAAGAGAGTTAAGTACAGGTGTAATGTTCTCACATTTGCGACTAGTGGTCAGGATGCGAGCTGCAGCATTTTGCACCAGTTGTAACCAATGAAGTACGGTTTACTTAATTTTAACATAGAGTGTGTTGCAATAGTCCAGAGAGCTGATAAAATCATGAACAGCCTTCTCTAGATCACGCTGGCTCAGAAATGGCTTGACTTTGGCAAGAAGGCGAAGCTGGAAAAAGCCAGCCTTGATCACCGAATTGACCGGTTTATCAAATTTTCAACTACTGTCCAAATTCACTCTCAAATTTTTAACTACATGGCTAAAATGTGGGGAAAAGCTGAGATGATTTGAGGGTTGCCAAACACAATACATGACCATTTTGAATGACATTGACTTCTAAAAAACACTGAACCTGATTAACATTAATTGAATGAAATGAAGAAAGTAACTAACACAGAAAAGACACGCAAATACACTCTCAGAAAAAAATGTTACAACGTTTTACCAAAGAAGGTGCAAACCCTTGTCACTGGGGCGGTACCTTTTTATGGAACATAATTGTACCTTAAGACAAAGAAACTAATTTGTACCATTGCAGTTTGTATTTTTAAGGACATGATTTGTACCATCAGAAACCAAAATGTACCTTTGTTTTTTAAAACCTGCAGATACAATAGTGTATCTTCATCAAAGGTACAAATCTGATCCATGAAGGTACCACTACACTCACAAGACACTTTGTACCTTACCTGTGTCAAATGTATTCCTTCAAGAACTATTTAATGCTGAGATTGTAGGACTATAATAACATGAAGATGAGATTTTCATTTTTGAGTCTCTTTAAGAGCACAGTTCAGTGACTGCAGCCTATGGGAGAACATATTGTACTATATGAAATTATAGATGAAAACCTGCTGCATAAATCTTAAATGTTAAAAGTGATGCATCACCCTGTGGTTATGTGACCTATATAGAATATACAGTTGAAGTCAGAATTATTAGCGATTATTTTCTTTTCTTTTTTAAATGTTTCCCAAATGATGTTGAACAGATTCAGGAAATTTTCACAGTATGTCTGATAATATTTTTTTTCTTCTGGAAAAAGCCTTATTTGTTTTATTTCGGCTAGAATAAAAGCAGTTTAGAATTTTTTAAACACCATTTTAGGGACAAAATTATTAGCTCCTTAAAGCTTTATATTTTCCCGATAGTCTACAGAACAAACCATCATTATACAATAACTTGCCTAATTAGCCTAACTTGCCTAGTTAACCTAATTAACCTAGTTAAGCCTTTAAATGTTACTTTAAGCTGTGTAGAAGTGTCTTGAAAAATATCTAGTCAAATATTATTTACTGTCATCATGGCAAAGATAAAATAAATCAGTTATTAGAAATGAGTTATTAAAACTATTATTTTTAGAAATGTGTTGAAAAATCTGCTCTCTGTTAAACAGAAATTGGGGAAAAAATAAACAAGCGGCCTAAAAATTCAGGGGGGCTAATAATTCTGACTTCAAATGTATATGTATTATTATATCAAACATTTTTTCTCATATTTATGTGTTTAAACTTGGAATCTTTTGCACAACCTCATCATTTGACATCTGTAAAAGAGCCAAGCCACTGGACATGAATAATATGAATTTGTTCCCATGGCAACCAACCATCTCCATTCTGTCATCATTACTTATGGTTCAGTAAGAGAGCAAGTATTGTTTACATGCAGACAGACATATTTTGACACTCTTTTCTAGAAATCCATTACATTACTAATGTCAAGCTTTTGTATGAAGATATAAGAATGTTTTCCTTTGATCCTGCCCTGCAGAAAGCCTATAGTCAGTGATGTGATATGATGTGTTCTGACTCCTGGTATGAAATCATACTTTGGCCTTTACTGCATCACTGTGGCAATTACGTAATAATGTCTTATTGAGATTGATGGTGTTTTCTATGAAGGCAAAGCTACAGAGCAGCGGCAGCCGGGGTGCAGAGTGCTATAATTCAGAGGTAATGCAGTAACCTGTCAGATTTACCGCTCTCTCTGGGTACTAGATTCACCAGATTTACCATCCCCTCTGGGCACAAACACTGGTCTGCTGTAGATATAGTAAAGAGATCATCAACACTATCAGCTCTACAAGCGCTGCAGGAATCCAGGGCAGTTAAAGCGAAGTCCCAGACTATAAATAGCATTTTCAGCACAGACTGGCACCACACTGTACTTTTTTAACCCTGGATGGAGATTAATCTTTGGGCAAGACCTCAATTTATTTTGTACCACACACACAAGAACAGTCTGAGACAAATTTGAGGTCAACTTTCCCTTAGTAGATCTCTCTCTTTTTACATATTGAAAGGTATTTGCTATAGGATTAACTCTCATAATGGTTTAACTCAGAAATTGCTAATAAATATTTAATACTTACTCAAAAATGAATTCCTGGAACAGAAAGACTTGAATAAACCATACTCTAGTTGGTCCACTTTATTAGGTGTTATTATTTGTCGGCTGCACATCCATGATGTGAATCTCCCATTCAACCACATCCCAAAGGTGCTCTTTTAGACTGAGATCTGGTGACTCTGGAGGCCATTTGAGTACATTAAACTCATTGTGATGTTCAAGAAACCAGTCTGAGATGATTCACGCTTTATGACATGGTGTGTTATCCTGCTGGAAGTAGCCAACAGAAGATAGGTACACTGTGGTCATAAAGGGATGGACGTTGTCTGCAAAAATAGGCTGTGGAGTTGACTCAATGTTCAATTGGTACTACTGGGCCCAAAGTGTGCCAAAAATATCACCACCACCAGCCTGAACCATTGATACAAGGCAGGATGGATCCATGCTTTCATTTTGTTGATGTCAAATTCTGATGCTACCATCCGGATGTTTTTTAATCTTCTATTGTCTAATTTTGGTGAGCCTGTGCAAATTGTAGCCTCAGTTTCCGGTTCTTAGCTAACAGGAGTGGTACCCGATGTGGTCTTCAGCTGCAGTAACCCATCCGCCTCAAGGTTCAACCTGCTGTGCTTTCAGAGATGCTCCTCTGCATACCTTAGTTGTAATGAGTGGTTGAGTTACTGTTGCCTTTCTATCAGCTCAAAACAGCCTGGCCATTCTCCTCTGAACTCTGGCATCACGAGGCATTTGCACCCACAGAGCTGCCACTGGATATTTTCTCCTTTTCAGCCCATTCTCTGTAAACCCTAGAGATGGTTGAGCCTGAAAATCCCAGTAGATCAGCAGTTTCTGAAATACTCATGCCAGCATATTTGGCACCAACAAACATGCCAAATTCAAAGTCACTTAAATCATCTTTCTTCCCCATTCTGATGCTCAGTTTAAACTGTAGTAGATTGTCTTGAGCATGTCTACATCTCTAAATGCATTGAGTTGCTGCCATGTGATTGGCTGGTTGGGTTAACAAGCAGTTGGACAGGTGTATCTAATAAAGTGGCCGTTAAGTGTGAATATATATTTATATATATATATATATATATATACACTGATTGGACCAAAAGGTATCAACATGTTTTGGCATCAACATGTAATCTGCGCTGATTGGTCCGATGACCCAGTCTGTTGCGATTGGTCGACTGCGTTCAGTGCGAGACAG